TCGTCAATTTCTTTTTTTCCATTTCCTCTATATGGTTCACAGGTGTTTGTGGGACTGATTTTTTCTCAGTCGCTAACGTCATTCCGTCGCTTTTTTACAACTTTCGCTTTCCATTGTCAATCATAACAGCACACCGAAATCCCCCTCCCCCAAACATATATGTTACAAAGATTCGTGAGCTTTGGATCAGATAAACTTTTAACCGACCTGATCGTCCATATGCAGCAAGCGCGATCCATTAAGCTGTGGTCTTTCAGCCTATGTTCTTTCGCTTTATTATTTTTCGAAAGGTAATTAAACGGATTCTGTATAAAGGAAACTGTGCCATTGAGTTTCGCTGAAAGATTCTTCTGATATTCACTGATTCCACGGAAGTTGTTTTTGCACACCAGTCTTGTTCGTCTTTGTTTCACTGCTGCTTTCATATAAAACTTTAGTTGGCCGTTGTTGAAGGTGTAAAGTTTAAGGCATTGCCCGAAACTGCTATGTGCTGTTGGGTCGAATGCCTTCCTTAAATCGATCCGATTGATCATGGCGATGCGCGTCTTTCTCATTTTGCAATTTTGACATAGCTCCTTGTTCAAGACTGACTGGTCTTTAGTTCTGCTGAATTTGTCCTGCGCGTTTTTTTGTTGAGGAAGTTTTGGTTAACCAGTCTACGTTATTCGTCTCCAGATACTCTCATAAAGTGCATTTGGAGTTTCGACGTTGGTCAAAGTCACGTGATCGGCCTGTATTTCACGTCACCATGACCATTTACAAAATGCGTTACTCTTTTCGTTGACCAAGAACGAAGCCCGTCTTTCAAACAGTTTCTGTAGGAATGCAGCTGATCCGAATTTGGCGTTGACCAGTTTTTCATCCTTCAGAGCTTCAGAGCTCACCGCGCATATTCCTTCAATGATTGTAGCCTTTCTTTCTTTAGAAATTCGATTTGCAATTTTCTATATTTTTTAGCCAGTTAACATTGTTTTTTATGGCCTTTGTCATTGTAGAACTGAAGCGATTTTTCTGCATTAGGAACAAATGTCTTTGAATTACTTTGAACAAATAGGTTTGTTTTTTGCCTCCAGAATTCTATGGAGGCCTTTGACATTTTAAACGAAGGTCCATTTCTGTTTTTAGGGCTCGAACCTGTTCAGATATGTCCGAACTTTTTACGATATAAATAACAGACTCCGCTTAGAGTTTTTGCATACAGTGCGCGTCCAGTCCTGTAGTTCACTTCTTAATTGTATTCGTCGTTGATATTTTTTACATTGACCACCCTGTTCGGTTCCTGTGCAGGTGGCTTACTTCTTATTGTATTTCTTTCCGTTTGTTTTGGCTCTTGTGTTCTTCTTCTCAGATTTGTTTCCACCCTCTGACAAAGTTTCTGCTGTTCTTGATAAGTACTGAATGCTGTGGCTGTTAAGTTGAGGTTGTGGCGATATGTATGATAATAACTGTTAGCATTTTTAGCGTTGCATCAACGCAAGTTTGCGTGACAGTACACATCGCAGAATTTGGTCTGAATTCAGTAGCTCTAGCGCCTTCTGAATCCGAAGTAAACTTTCTTCATCTTCGATGATCGCTTTTCCTTTCCGGTTACGCAGGCAGACGCGTCAGACAGAGCTTCCATCCTTCCCGATGGAACAAATCCTTCCATATATTTGCATCAGGTTAACCTTGGCCGTCCTCTGGCCTTCTGTCGGTCAGTTTCTCAAGAAACAGTTGCTTCGTCTTCCTTCCTGAAGGCATTCGCAACACATGACAAGCCATCGCAGCTGTTACTTCTCCATCTGCAGAAGCAAAGCCACAAAGTACACCAAGGCTCTCCCGGATGTATGTATTGCGGATCATGTTGAAAAGTGCAAGGCCAGCGACTTGTCTAAGAAAGCTCATTTCA